GGGCGGCGGTCCACTCGGGCCCCCGGAGCCTCCGTGGCCGGGCCTCGAAGGCCCCTGCTTGCAGAAGCCAGGGGCGGCGGCCCTCTCGCTCCCGGCGCTGGGGCTGCAGTCGGGCACTCACTGGAAACTCCTCCAGAAGTTGCTGGGCTGCTCCAGGCTGTGCCCAGGGGCTTGCCCCAGGGACCGAGGGTGCCACCGGGGCACCCTCGCCCGGAGGGGGCGTACGGTTGTGGGATTGGGAGGTGCCCCGCTGTGTGCCCCCCCAGGGCCCCTCTTTACACACTTGATTGGAAACGGCGCCCTAAAGGCGCATTGTAGGGGGGAGTCGGGGCAGGGGGCAAAGGCCTTAGCGGGGCAGGGGATTGTCCCTGCCGGTCACACATGCCACGCTGGCTGTCCGGCTCAAGTTTGGGTCTTGCGTTGACTTAACAACCCTCCACATCTGAAGAGAAGCCCAGAAGAGCGAGATTTTAAAAATTCTTGGACACTGAGGCTTAGGGGTTGCAAAGAGTTAAGATTCAGGGTGCGGAGGGAGAGTTGAATTGCTCAGATGTGGGCTCTGAGCCCCAGAGAGCAAACAGCCACTATTTTCTTCTCAAACACCCTCACCTCTGGGGTCCACAGACCTTACAAAGACAGGCTTTGTTGCCAGGTAGGATTTCCAGAGCCTTCTTCATCTGGGTGGAGAGGGGGGTGTGTACTGCCAGCCTGGACCAGGCTGAGATCTCAGACCTGTCCCGGTGTCTTTGGGGTAGGGCCCGAAACCGGGACCTTTGGGGTTTGGGGTCACAGGGACAGAGGCACCCACTGGGACACTTGGAGTCCTGTTCTGGGCAGGCCAGCACCTGTGCTCAGGGCTGCTTCTCCTGTGGGGTATTCCGGGAGTGCTGAGGCTCCCGGCTCTCCGGTGTTTGGGCGAGGGGCTGCCCACCTCGGGTCCTCTCGCAGAACGCCCCGCTCCCCTCCTGCCATTTGCATCCAAGATGGACTCTCCGCTGCCGCTCCTCCGCTGCCTTGTCATCATCCCTGACGCCCTGCAGCCCTGCCTCCTGCTCGCGGGTTGCCAAGCCGCGGCCTGGCCGGCGGTGGCGGTGGCAGTGGCGGT